GATCTCAGATCTCAGACTCCTTAATAGTAAGGATTACAGGCGTGAGCCACCAGTATCAGGCTCAATGCACTCTTAACTGTCCATCAAGGTAGGAAGCTGGAGTCAATGCTAGTGGCTCACACCTTTAATCCTAGCTACTCAGGAGGCTGAGATCTCAGAATCATGGTTCTTTTTTTTTTTGGTCCTGTTGTGGGGCCTGAACTCTGGGCCTGAGCGCTGTCCCTCAGCTCTTCAGCTCAAGTCTAGCACTCTACCACTTGAGCCACAGCACCACTTCCAGCTTTTTTCTTTTTGCTTAGGAATTGAACCCAGGGCCTCAGGCATGCAAGGCAAGCGCTCTACCACTGAGCCACCTTCCCAGCCCCGAGAATCATGGTTTGAAGTCAGTCTGTACAGGAAAACCCATGATACCTTTTTTTTTTTTTTTTGGTCGGTCATGGGCTTGAACTCTGGGCTTGGGTGCTGTCCCTCAGCTCTTCAGCTCAAGGCAGGCACTATACCGCTTGAGCCACAGGGCCACTTCTGGCTTTCTAGTGGTTTATTGGAGATAGGAGTCTCATGGACTTCCCTGCCTGAGCTGGCTTTGAACTGTGATCCTCAGAACTCAGCTGCCTGAGTAGCTAGGATTATAGGCATGAGCCACCTGGGCCCAGCCATGATTACTTTTATATCCACTAAACTACCAAAAAGGCTGGAAGTGGAGCTGAGGCAAACACACACACACATACACACACACACACCCAAACACACACACACATTACCTAGAGATACAGGTAACAAACCTGAATTCATTCATCTCAGCAAAACAAAAGTTGAATAAAACACAAGTAAAGCCTAGTAGCTCACACCTGTAATCCTAACACTCAGCAAGTCCAAGGTAGAAGGGTCACAAATTCAAGGTCAACTTGGGATACACAGCAAAACAAAAACAAAACAAACAAGTGAAATCATAGAGCCTAAGGATACATTTTGTTTACTTTTATTTATCCCTCACCTGTCCCTTAGGCCTCATGGGTAGGCAAGTTCTCTTCCACTGAGCTACCCCTTGGCCATTTATGGTACTGGTTTGTGAAGGAACAGACAAAGGGAGAGAGGGACTAATGGATAGGGAAGGGCCTCCATTTGATCAGTGAGGACTTGAATTTTTTTAAGCAAAAAGGTATACAAATCATAAGTATCCATACAATTAGGCTGGGTGCTAGTGGCTGTAATCCTAGTTACTCAAGAGGCTGAGATCTGAGGATCATGGTTCAAAGCCAGACCAGGCAGTAAAGTTACTGAAGGCTAGCATTTGATCCCTTACCTTCCAGCTTTTTAATGGTTAACTGGGGATAACAGCCTCTAGGATTTGTTTCTTGGCCAGCTTTCAACCTCTATCCTCAGATCTCAGCCTCCTGAACGGCTAGGATTATAGGCATGAGCTACAAGTGCCTGGCGGCAGAAGAACCATCTTTTTTTTTTTTTTTTTTTTAATTTTACGTATGTGGTACCGAGGAATGGAACCCAGGGTCTCATGTGTGCTAGGCAAGCCACATTCTGAGCCCCAAGACCCATCTATTGTTAGAGTGGATTTTAAATCATTGGTGTCTAGGACTAGACAGCAGACAGCACAACATGGTAGCCTACGCCTTCTGGCAAATATACATATGGATACCTTTCTGTGGGCATTTACTTAGGAGTGTGGTTACTTCATTTTGCTACATTTTGTTAATCAAGTGCCATTCCTTAATGCCTGGGGAAAAATGTTTTTGAGAGGAGGAAAAATTCAGATTCAAATTCAGTCAGGGGAATGGGCTCATAAGATATTGGGGCTGTGAGAATGCGACTCATGTGTCCCCATGTACACATGAATCATCAGCTCCTCTCACTCTCTCCCAAGGTGTCTTGGATTAGTCAACTTCAAGCCCTCAACCGGGAGTCAGCAGACCCTGGGGAAGGGCATCTATTTCTGAGCACAGAGACCTGAGCATGAACCCTTGAGTCCCTGCCTCCAGCTCTGTGGCTAGCAGCAAGTTACATGACCTCCCTGAGCCTTGTCTATAAATGAAAAGAGCCACTACGCATAGGTAGAGCAATGAAGCTTACTTAGCATGTTAGGCTAGGACCTGGCACACAAGGCAGGCACTGAGCAAGTGGTAGTTAGAACTTTCTTTCTCTTTCTCTTTCTCTTTCTTTTGCTTGAACTCAGGATGTCACGTTCTCGCTTCTCTTTTTCTTGTGCGTATGTGTATATGCAGATACTGGGGCTTGAACTACAGGCCTGGGTGCTGTTCCTGAGTTTTTTTTGCTCAAGGCTAGCGCTCTACCACTTGAGCCACAGCTCCATTTTTGAATTTTTGTGGTTGCGGTTCACTGGAGATAAGAGGCAGACAGATTTTTCCTACCCAGGCTGGAAAAGATTAAACCAAGATCCTCAGATTTCAGCCTCACAAGTAGCTAGGATTATAGGCGTGAGTCACCTGGCCTAACTTTTGCTTGGCTTTTTGGCTGCAGGTTGGTGATCTATCACTTGGGCCACACCTCTACTCCTAGCTGTAATCCTCAGATGTCAGCCTCCTAAGTACCTGCTGATTTGCAGCTTTCTGAAGCCACTATTCCATGTTTTAAAGTGAGAAAATGGATTCACAAAAGGAAAATGAAGCATTTATGTAAAACCCTTGAAGACCTGGCCCTCAAGCCTTTTCTACTCTCCTTCCAAGCGCTCACCGATGCATTCTCCAGATGTTGTGGGTGAAGAAAGCGAGGCTCAGACCCCTTGTGTGTTTCGTGCAGGGCACAGACTAGGAAATGGTGGCAGGGGCTGAAGTTCAGCTGGAGGCTGCCTGATTTAGACTCCCAGGCTCCTACCTTTGGCCTTCCTAGTAGCGCCAGGTAGCAAGCTTTTGATTCCTGCCATTGTTTGGTGTACCTATTCTTCATTCTGAGATGGAACAAGGCTGGTTGCTCCCACTCAGGGTCAAGTATTCCTGTCTGGAATCTCCCAGAGAAAGTGCACCAGAAGAAAGTGCTGCTCTGGACGGGCTTCTGGCATCCTTTAGTCTGCATTTTTCTTCAGAAGGAGCTTGGTTTTCCTCATTGAACACCCTTAGAGAGGACAAGACAGTCTTCCGACTCCCCTGGGCTTTCCACTGTGACTCCCGGAGCTCTGGAGACTTAGCAGGACTGGAGATGAGCCACTCTAGGCTCTGTGTGGGCGGTCTGCACACTGTCACATCCACCAAGCTGGCTTTCTGCAGAAGATCAAGATCTTCAGGAGTGGCTTCCAGTGCTCGTCTAAGCCAATCTGGTTGGAATCGTGGGCATGTGGTGAAAGCTATCTGTGTCTCAGTTTCCTCCTCTGTAAAATGGAGGTAATAGAAACATTAGCTTCCTAGGTTCAGCCAATGTGCCTGGCATGAGGTGCCACTTCACACTGTAGCTGTCATCTGATTCTTAGTGCTACGGCTAAGGCTACATTGGAATAGGCCACCGTGATATCCAATGAATGGCATGGAGCCACAGGTGTGGTAGAATATGTGTTCAGCATCCCTGAGGCCCTGGGGTCCATCCCCAGCAGCCCAATTGCCCAAACAAATAACAGAACTAAAGAGAGTCCACTTCCCAACTCACAGCTTCATGTCAGAAAAGCTACAGCAGGACCAAGGTGTGCCTGTCTCACCTGCCCAATTGGACACAGACAGAAGACCTAGGCCTGTGCAGGTATCACATTTACAGCTACTTCGAATATCGCTCTTACAGAATAAAGGCAGAATGAGAGCAACCCAAGGGGAGCCTCCTCACTGAGGCCCCTTTCTTCTACCCCACCCGGGATGGACCTCCACCCTCCCAGGCAATTAGGCCCACCCTGAGGGAGGGTGCATCACGTGGCTGCTCCTTGTCCACCTGCCTCTGGTGACCTGGGGCCAAGAGGGCCTTCCTGCCTTCACCCACCATCTGGGCGTTCCCTTGCTGGTGGGGCCTGAATCACAGTGGGGAGGGGGTTGCTTTATGGATCCTGAAAGGGGGGGGGAGAGAAAAGTAGGGGGATTGATCAGATCAGGTGTGGCAGACCGGGAGGATGTGTTCAGCTGTCCACAGCTGCCAGCCGCGATCTTGGTCAGCTACCGATGCCGGGTCTTTCCTTGCCGGACTTCCCCCCTCCCCGCGCCCCTCCCACCCCAAATACGCGTCGCCACCACAACCCCCCCAGTCCCGGTGGGCTGAAGCGCGGTCCCGAGTCGCAGAGATTTTGTTTACAATCGGTAACTCGGCCAGATAATTGCCAGATAACAACTTTCCCGTCACTTTCCCCGGGTGGAGTGGATCCAGCTCTCACGGGTTTTCAGAGAAGATTCTCCACGGGAAAGTCCCCTTCGCAGGTGAAGGGGGTAAGGGGAGGGGGGGTGAGTGATCACAAAGCCCAGAGGAGCCTCCCCACCCCCACCTCCGCTTCAGTAAGCCCACCCCCAGCCCCCACGCCGCTGGGAATGAGAGGAGGCCAGGCCGGGCCTCAGCGCCCCGACGCCGGCTCCGGGCTCCGGACTCGGAGGCGGGGGGCGGGGGGGGGGGCTGGCCACTCCCCGACCCAGGCGCAGCCCGCCGGGAACCAGTGAAGCGTGTGGGAGCAGGACTTGTCCATTCCTCCAGACTCTAGGGGTCAGGGTGAACACCGGAGATCCCCCTGCCTATCCTCGCGCGCGCGGATCCGCCGCCCAGCGTCCTCCCTCCCCAGCGGTCGCCGGTTTTCCTCCCCTGAAGTTTGGTCCACGTGGTGGTGTCGCGCCGGCGGCAGGCTGGCGGCCTCGCGGCGTGAAAGGGTCCGCGTCGGCTTTAGGCGAATTACGGTAGCCCTAGAAGTTGGTTCTCCCCTCCCTCCGCGGCTCCCTCGCTCCCTCCCTCCCGGCTCCCCTCCCCGGCGCTCCGCGCGCTCCCTCCCTCGCTCCCCCTCCCCCGCCCGCCCCGCCCCGCCCGCGCGCCGCGCGCTCGCAGCCACTCGCCGCCCGGGCTCAGTCGCAGCCCCTCGGAGTCCGCAGCCGGCCGCCCCTGCGGGCCGGACAGTGCGGCCGGTGGCCGGAACCGAGCGCCCCAGCCCGCGGAGAGGGCGCGGCGGCCGCGGCGGCGGCGGCGGCGGCGCGGGGTGGGGAGGAGCCCGGGCCGGAACCAGGGCTGGGCCGGGGGCGGGGACGCCGGGGTCCCGGAGCCTGGGAGCCGAAGCGAGCGGAGGAACGTCGCGGACGGACCGGGGAGGAGGACCGGAGCCCCGGGCGAGCCGAGCGACTCACAAAGTGCGATGCCCCGGCGGGACTGAGGCGCGCGGCGGGCGGCGCGGCGCGGCGCGCGGGGAGGACGCCCGGGAGCGGCGCGGAGCGGAGCGGCCGCCCCGGCGGGCGGCGGCGGGCCCGGGCTGCGCCCCGAGCGCGCCCCATGCCCCGCGCGGGCTGACGGGCCGGAGCCCGCACGGAGCGGCCGGGCGGGACAGGTAGGTGGCGGGCCGGGGACGCGACGCGGGGGTGGGGGAGAGCGGGGCGGGCGGCGGACCCCCTCCCGGGCTCGCCCGCCCGTCTCCCCCGCTCCCCGGCTTTACTTTGTGTTTGCAAACTGCCCGCCGAGACGCGCCGGGCGCCGGGAGGAGCACTTTGTTCCACCCGGGCCGGCCGCGGTCCCCGGATCCCGGGGAGCCGCGAGACCCCGCCCCCCCCGGCCCGGGCCCCCCGCGGGCCGGGGCTGCCCGGGGAACAGGTGGGGCTGCAGCGCGGCGGCGCGAGTGGGGCCCGCGGAAGGCGTTCGTGTGGGGGGGGCACGGAGACGCCACTGAGGCCCGGCCTGCCCCGGGAAGCCCGGGCTCCGCCCCTCCCGGCCTCGCCCCCCCTCCCCGGAATGGGGTGTCTGGGGGGCGCGACCCCCCCTTCCCCGCCCCGAGTCAGACAAAGAATACTTCCCGGACTTTCCTGAGCTGGGAAGGGAGGTGGTGCGCTGGGAGCCTCCAACTCGAGTCCGCTTGGGAACCCCCCCCCGACACGCCCCGGGCGCGCTCCCCGCGTCGCCTGGGGTGAGGCGGGCACGGGCTGGGTTGAGGTCGCACCTCGGAAGTTGCCGAGACCCCCGAACCCTCGTTCCGGAACCCGTCCTCCTGCCTGGACATAGAGCGGAAAACTTCTTGGGAACTTGAGAGCGTCTGGAAATAGCCCCTGTTGGGGGGGTTCTGATTCTTTTTCTCTTCGTGAGTGTGTGTGTGTGTGTGTGTGTGTGTGTGTGTGTGTGTGTGTGTGTGTGCGCGCGCGTGTGTGCGCGCGCGCCGCGGGGATAGGGGACTGTTCTGGGCGACACCTCGATTCACCTCCTTTGGGAACATCTCCCGCCCTAGTGGAAGTGGGGGCTCAGCGGGGTCAGAGGTCATCGGAGAACAAGGTCCTTCCTGGCGTACCCCGAGCAGGACCCCATCCATCCGTGCAAGACCGCCCTGGGACAGGCCCCCCACCCCCCACCCCAGCACCTCGGGCCCGGCCCCTCCTGGGCCTCTCCAGCCTCACGCTCCGCCTCAACCGCCAAACAAACTTGTTGGGTTGTGCGGGCGCTGAGCCGGTGGCGCTAGAATGCGGGGTGCCCTTGGAGACTTGGGGGATCGCGGCTATCCGAGGGAGGAAAGTCGCTCATGTGATTTCGCGGGATGCGAATGCCAATGCAGAGGCCCTGTCTGCGGCCGATTACTTTCCCCCAACTGTGGCGACCTTGGGAGCACCGGGGTGGCTCCCAGTCTCTCTAGGTTAGAGGAGGAAGATTAGGGGTCCTGACCTCGGAGAGTGCCCACTGCTCCCTTGGCACCCCAGTCTCTCCGAGCCAGCTCTGGGGGCCGGTTTTCTTGCTCATTCTGCGGCGGCGCACCTGGGATTGAAGGCATCTAGGGTGTGGAGCACCACCCCAGATCATGTCTCCCAGCTGGTTGATGGGGCATCCGGAGCAGGAGAGAAGAGTGGGGGGCCTGGAGGATGTGAACCCGCGTTCTGAAGCCATGGTACGGCAGACTGGATGAGAAAGCCCAGGAGCGTTTTGGCCAATGCGGGATTTCTACATGAACTTTGCCACTGTTTCACGGCACCCGGCTGGATTCCTCACAGATCCAATTTAGGTCTAGAATTGGGGGGTCGCAGAGAGTGCAACATGGGGGACAGCTGCTATGGTTCCACGAAGGCCTTCTCCCGAAGGAAGAAGGGGCAGCAGGACCATCTTGGTAGCCTGGCATGGCGGGGGGCAGCTCCCCATCGCGCAGCTTCTCACCAGCACGCCTTTTTCCCCCCTGGAGATTCAAGAACAGGAAGGAGTTGACTCCTTGTCCCCCATGCCTTTGGGTCTTTTAACCTCCTTCTTGGTAAGAGCTAGGAGGAGCTACTCAAAAAGGAGCCGCAGGACTCAAGCAAGCTCTTCCCTCCTCTCAAAACACCGCCGTGTGGAAGTTGGCAGGTTTTTTTTTTTTTTTTCCTTGACTTGATTAACTTGGTCTTGCTCTGAGGGTTTGGGGTTCTTTGTCACCTAGTGGGTGGAGAGAGGACACAGAGTGCCTAGATTTTGCGTGTTCCCATGTCACCCCTAGACCAGAGTTTCTAAAGACTGTGTTGGAGGGCTTCACAGGTGGTGTGTCTCCCCACAACACCACTCAGCGAGGCACGAAAAAGAAGGGGTTCTGAGGGGCTGCAGCTAAGATCTGAACCTCTGCTTTGGGACCCCCAGGTTCCTACTTTACCCTGGCCACTAAGCTCTGGACTCCAGGATGGAATTTTCTGTTCTCCCTGCCCTGGGAGATGGGGAGTGGGGGATAGGGGAACCCCTGAGACCTGGAGAGGAAAAGGCCTGGCTCCGTGCTGGAGAATAGGGGGTCAGGGCATGCAGGCCCAGCTTGCCCCAGGACCTGCCTGCCTCTGGTCCAGTCTGTGTAGCCACTTTCCCCCGCCCCCCCCCCCCCCCCCCCCATGCCACTCTGCCTTTTGCTGAAAACTTCCTTTCTTGGCTGTGGGCAGGTAGATCTCTTCTCCTCAGGAATGTGCTATCCTGCTGGGCCAGTCCTCCAAACACACCTCTTCCTTGGGTGGGCGGTGGGGGGAGCAGAATGGCTTAAGTGTGTGTGGCAGAGGGGGGGGGGGGGCTTCAGTAATTGCCCAAATGTTGGTAGCTGAGTCTTTCCTCTGTCTGACCAGGTCCTGAGGTACCTGAAAGATACCAAAAGTACCTGAGAGGCTGAGGTCCGCCCTCTGGACTCCAGTGCTGGGATGAAAGAGAGGTTGGGGAGGCAGGGCATCTGTTTTACAGGAGGGGGTGTGAAGTCCCAGGGGAAGGAAAGGCTGTGTCCCCCAGAAGCCTTCCCCGTTCCACAGCCGCCCTCCTTATATCTTAACCCTTCAGTTGTCCTGGCCGTTCCCAGAGGCCTGCTGTCTGTCCTTCCAGCTGGCCATAGTGCACCCAAGCAGGCACAAAGTCTTTTCCATTCATGCCAACTGATATTTCCTTTCATCCAGGGGCTCTTCTCAGCCTCCTCTCTCTCCTGCATCGCACCCCTCTCCTGGCTTCCCTAGGCCTAAGGCCACAGGCACTATTTCGTCCAGGTTCTGCTGCTTTTCTCCATTGGCTGCAAATGGCTTAAATGGCTTCCTAAGACTTGGTTCCATAGTTCTGGATCCCAGGCAATGAACTTCGACCTCCCCAGGGCAGACCGTGTGTCAGAGTGGAAAAGGCTTTGGAACTTGGCAATAGAGATGCGACTCTGGGGAACTTAATTAAGCTCCAGGAACCTCAATTTTCTTAGGATGGAAAGTAGGTCAGTGATACCCAGGTGGAGAGTCTGCTTGGGAGTTGAATGCGAGGTAAAGTCCTCAGCATCCTGCCTGGCCAGGGGAGTGCCCGTCCAGGGATTTTTTTTTTCCTTTTTTTAATTAGTTTACCAGCACTGCCAGGCCACTTATTGGGCTGGATACTAGAAATACTGGAGTATTAACCTTCATTTTATAGGGTGGAAAATGAAGTCAGAGAAGAGGTGACTATGTCTGAGGTTACACAGCTGCTTAGCAGCAAAGCTAGGACTTCAAATTGTGGGGTTCCTGACCCAGTATAACCAGTAGGGCTTGAACCTCTGCTATAGGTAAGAGAGCTACTAGAAGGGGTAGAGGGGCTACTAGCCCCCCTTAACATACCCTGTTCCTCAACTCCTTTTTCCTTTTCTCACTTTTACCAGTTTGAAGTAATTGTTCCTCTTATACCTGGGCTACAGGTTACCTTCCTGTCTACCTTTAGGAAGGATCTGGGAGCAGAACCTGGGTAGCCCATATACACCCTGGAGTGCCCCCTCTGGGGCAAAATGGGAGCAGAAGAGGAAAAATGACTGAGACTCCCTTCTCTCCAAAAAAGAATATTCTTAGTTTTTGAAATTCACTGCCTTCACATCCTTTTGGAGGCAGCTGCTGGTCTCAGACCAATTTGGGAGCTACCACTGGAATGGGATCATCTCAGAGAGGAAAAGAAACTTCTTCCCTTGCGCCTGAAGTTGCTGGCGGCTCTGTTCACAGTTGCCTTCCAGATTTTTCATTGGACTGCACTCCCTGGCTCACTGCAAGGTCTGCCTTCCTAGCTGCTGATCACTGAGAATTCTGGATTTTGCCCGCCTAGCCGGGGATCACAATGGGAAGCTTGCTCCTCTGCCCTTCAAACTTTGTGGCATCTCCTCTCTGTTACAGAGCCTCCATGTAAGGCCCAGGCACAAAAGGCAGAGTCTGCGTCCAACCAGACTTAGCCAGTGTCACCCCTTGCCCCAATCCCAGGACTACCCCTACCCAGGGGGTCTATTCTCCACATACCCCCTCCAGTGAAGCCCTTCCCTGCCCAAGAAGTACCTTGTGGCCTGTGGCCTGAAACCCAACTTGTCTGTCCACCCTCTTGGCCCTTTCTTCTGTACAACTGGCCTTTTCCGTGAATGTGGTCCATTGGTGGTACAAGATAGAGGTAAAGGGTGTTTCCTTTCCCACTAGAGATGGTTCTGACACTTCTGACCTGGCTATCATGTTAATGAGCAGAGGGAATGAATGGTGGGTTTCCCCAAACAGTAGCATAGTATGAGAACAAGCTCTGGCATGAACCAGCATTGACAGAAGTGATGGGAACACAGGTGACCTACATTTTTCTTTGTAGTTTTCCTTGTGCTACTGGGGTTGAATTCAGAATCTCACGCATGCTCCAGAATTCTGAATGGAGGGAAGGGGAGGGTGATGACCCCTGCAAGTCAGGGTGACTTGGGATGGAGACCCGTGCTCCTAGCACCACAACGCTGCTGTGGAGTGCTCATGGCATAGAACTCAGAGATGAGATGAAGTAAGAATTGGTTTGCAGCTGGGAATGATGTGGCTTAGTGCTAGAGTGCCTGCCTAGCCTGCATGAAGCCCTGGGTTCAATTCCTCAGTACACAGACACAGAAAAAGTGTTTGCCTTGCAGGAGGAGGG